GTTGCCAGAGCGACGCGTAGCGTCACATCCTGGCGACGGCGGGTGCACCGCATATCGCCGCCCCCCGTGGCAGGGATCCTGTAAAGAGCTGCAGATCCCCCGCCGGCATTTGGTAAGCCTACCTACAGATGAGGCCTATGTCTAACCACTACAGTGGTCACAGGATTCATGCTTTTGTTACATTGTCAGAGCCTGGTACACAGGTCCTATATTGTACTGCTTTTTATTACAACCATCCTTTTCAAATATTACCCAGAGTGAAGAAAATCTAACATAGCCCTCTAAAGAGTTACAATAAAGGATTTTTAAAATAAATAAATAAAAGCTTCCAACTGGGATCAATTTTACTGTGAACCCATTTAACTGAAACTTTTCACAGATGAAAGCAGCTCAGGCTCATCAGAAGCAGATGGCTGAGGAACGCTCCAGGGAATGAAAGGCAGCTTACAGAAACCCCCTTCTCAGGTCTTTGTGGTACTAGAAAGGCAGGAAATAGTAAAGGAGTTAAAAGGGAGCTAATGAGCGACTATCAGCTATCAGACCCACATCGTGATCCAATACGTGTCTACTCAGATGTAATTCTTATTAAGGTTGATGAGGCTGAATCCCAACTGTGTGTGCACAGGACTGCAGCCACAGACTCTTCTCCGGTGAAGAGAACAGCTGGGAATCAGACCTGAGTAGCATGTAATGAAAATGCCATGAGGTCTGTTCATGTGAGACCCAAAACAACATGGGAAGAGAATATGAAAGTCTACCGAGCATCCGCTCCCTATGCACTGAGCATAAAGCAATCTAGATATAAGAAGCTGGCTCATTCCATCGGCCTGCTGAGCCCAATGCTATGAACTCTATCAGGACACCAGTCTTCCAAGGTCTCAGGCAGTGGGGCCTCGGCAGTCCTGCAACCCAGGATCCCTTTCAAATGCAGTATCAGCCAGTTCAGATCCCATCAGCATACAGTTAGGCTATTTTGTTCTAGTCTGCATCTTCTCAACACTGCACTTCATTTGCCATGTTGTTGCCCACTCACACAATTCAGAGAGATCTTCCTGGAGCACTTCACAAATCTGCCTTGCTTTTCACCATCCTGAATAATCTGCAAACCTGGCCAACACACTTGCCCCCCCCCCAATTCCAAATAATTTATGGACAAATTAAGTACCGCCGGTCCCTTGTGGGACCAAGCTACTCACTTCCCTCCATCACAGTAACTGTCCACTTGTTCGTACTCTCTTCTTCCTGTTATTTAGCCAACCATACTCTTGACCCATATGTGCCAAGTCTTTGGCGAGGTACCCTTATCAAAAAAGCCTTTTGGAAGTCCAAGTATATAATATCGTATAAATTACCCTTATTCACATATTTGTGGACTACTGTAAGCCACCCAGAGTCCACTGTGAAGAGATGGTGCAGGGTATAAATTAAATAAATAAATATTTGTGAAGCTGCTCAAAGAATCTCAAAAGATTGGTGAGGGGACTTCCCTTTGGAAAAGCCATGCGGATTTTCCCTTCAGCAGGCTTTGTTTCCCTATGTGCTTAATAATTTTACCTTCAATTACAGTTTCTACTAATTTACTTTCAATGGATATCAGGCTAATTGACCTGTAATTCACTGGACCCCTTTTAAAAAACTGGGGTGACATTTGCTACTTTCTAGTAGTCCGGCACAAAGGCTGGGTTTAGTGAGAAGTTACACATACTAGTTAGTAGATCAACAATCCACTATTAGTTTTAAGCTTGCCTAGTGTCCTGGAACGTCACCTCTCATCACCTCAATATGACCCAATTCTTCAGACACCCTTCCCAAAAACAGTGGCTCCAGGGTGGGTACATGCCCCACATTTTCAGTGAAAACAGGCATAAATGCTTACTTTCATTCCCTGCCATCTCCCCATCTCCCTTAAGCAATATTTTCACTCCTTAGGAAGCGGTCACACGCGCCAGATAAAACCCGGGGGAGGGGGGGGGAGGCGAGGCGATTTCCTCCAGAGGAATTTGACCCACAGTTGCACAATCACACCTCCCTTTGAAGCTGCGGGCGCAGTCCATCAGTGTGTGATCAGACGCAACTGCGGGTGAGTCAGGGTGTTTTTATACCGTTTGTTTCCCATGCGCTTAAATGAGGGATCGATTAATCGCACCTGCACACTGAGGGCTCCCTATGGAGTTTGCGATGATGTGCATACTGCGAAGGGGGGGGACGACAACAGCATGGAGTCGGGATGGCCTGATCAGACCATCCCGCACCGTGAGAGCACACTGGAACAATCAGACACGGGAAAGTCTGTCCGTGGCCTGTCGCAACCCATTTACTACCAGATTTTCCCTGGTGTCTTTTAACTCCACTTCTGTAGTGGAGCAGAACAGGTTGCCGACGGCTGCGGGGTGCTTCCCAGATGTTGTTGTCTGATCGCGCCCTTTAAATCTGCCCAGCATTCGCACCTATGTCAGGTCTAATTGTGCATATGATCACAGCCTTTGTCATCTAAAGGCCCAACGACCTCCCTAACCAGTTTCCTGCTCCTGTTATATTCAAAGAAACATTTATTGTTTGTCTTAATCTTTTTTGAGCAATGTGCTCCTCAAATTGTCGTTTTGCTTGCATTATTGTCAAATGACATTCGTTTTGCCAGAACCTGTGCTCTTTTCTGTTCACCCATTACAAAAATCTTTCTACTTTTTAAAGGAACCTTCTTTACCTTTTATGGTTTCCTGGTCATTAACCATGCAGGCATCCTTTTAGACTTGATGGTACCTTTTCTAATGTGAGGGAGGCATTCTCCCTGGGCCCCGCTTAATGTGGTTTTAAATAGTTTCAAGGCATCCTGAAGGGAGTGGGAGCCCAAAGTGCAATGGGCAGAATATACTTCTCCACTGACCAGTCAAAACCAGAAGGCCAGGCTTTTAGCATGTGCAGCAAAGCCCAGACAACCCAGGGGCTTCACAATAAAAATCACACAGTGGGTCACTGCATAAAGACTTCTGGCAGGAACCACTGGGAGAAAGACCTGTAGATGATGCCCAGGGAAAATGCAATGCATTGTTTGCACCAGGAGCCAGGCTCACCTATATCTTTATGCATGGCTTTTGCAAGAGCTTCCACAGTCATCTCAGACATTATCTCAACCTCCTGCTTCTCCACTTTTGGTTTTATCTGTCGAAGTTTCTCCTTGCCAGATTTCTTTCTCTACAAAAGAGTTAAAAGAAAAGCACGGTGCTAAGGAAAAGACTGAAGAAAAGGCAATGTTTCCAAAGAAGCCTTGATCTTGCATCTGGAAGTCATCATGGCTAGCACTGCAGTTGACATTATTCCATATGAATTAAATTAAGGTTAATCGATGCTATTAACACACTTCCTATCTTTGCACTACTTCATTGCATATGAAATACAGTGGAAATATAACTACTCTGGATGTGACGCAGAAAAACACAGAAGGAAGCACACAGTCTTTCTTCCTGCATCTTATTCGTGTCCAAAGCCGTTCTCAATTTTTATGCGGTTGCTGCATCTGTCAAATTTGAAATACCCTTTGATTTGGTCTGGGCTGAAAAAGAGCGCCAATGTTCTCCCCTCCAGCAAAAAAATAATCACTTGAACTGCTGCATATCCCAACTTCATGCCCACTAAAAATGCTCAGGGCTGGTGGTGGCTCCTTTAAAGAACTTTCCCTTTACCCTGGGCTAGATGTGAAGACCGACTAACACCCTCTGCCTCTTCCCACTGAAAATAACTCCTTATGAGATATTTTCTGTTTTGGAATTAATGAAATGCTTTTTAAGAATGATTTTTCATCACTCAAAATGTATAGCATGAAGATTTTTGTAAGGCAATCTACAGCATTAGACAATAATCATTCCTGTTACACAACATTCAGATCTGAGATTCCTTTCTACACCTAAAGGGTGTTGCTGTCTTCATAAGAAGAGCTTATGGATTCTGTACGGGGATTGCTGCTCATCTTCTTCTGTTCACCTTTAAAACCACACACTACTGCACCTAAAACACACTCTCCCTCCAGCACTGGATATATTAGTAGCTCACAGTACAAACCCAAGTAGAGTTACAAACTTCTAAGCTCACTGACTATAATGGTTTTAGAAAGATATATTTCTGCATGGGACTAAACTGTCAGGCACTTATTCTTTTACATTTCGTAAATATACCAAATGCTACAATTTTGTATGCTAATTAATTTATAAGTTATTCAGTCAGTCAGTTTTTATTAAGACCACAGGCCCTTCAGAAGCACAATAAAACACATACATACATAAAATCTCTCCATACATCACTCGTCCTAAAATATCTAACAGTTAAAAGTTTAGAATATATCACAAACTGGACGTTATCTTGGCCTGTATTTTCATTGCAGAATACAGTAACTTTGCCACAGATACATTAACTTTACTTAACCCCATGGATTTTATAAAGGGAAGGGAAAGTGGTCAGTTCCTCGTCTATTGGGTCAATCCAAGTTGGAGTGTAAGGATCAGTCACTAGGCTGCAAAGAAAAGTGTTCTGATTACTGATGAACAAAACTTGGATTCCAAATCTAAAAGCTGTTAGCCAAGCTAAGTGCATCAGTGATGCAAGACCAGTTTCTAATCTAAAGACCCCAGAGGGTGCACACTAGGCACTTTAAGGATTGTTCTCACTACTTTTGTATAAATTATTCATTTTATGTTATTAAAGCAGTAAAATAAGTTTACATTTGATAAGAAAGTCAGCATTGAATATATTTCAGTTTCCCCAAAAAAATGTCCTCTCCCACACAAATCCAGGAAAAAACCCTGAAAAGCTTTAAAACTTTTTATTTAGTTCTCAGCATCCAAGGCAACCAAAAGTATGCCATTGAAAATGCATGGATCATCTTTCCCTGTTTGGAATAAAGCTCTCTTAAAATAGAGGGAGGAAGCACAACATAAAGTATGACCAGAAGCTACCTACTTCCTTCACCTTGAGTTCAATGTGTTTATGAAACAGTGAGTTAACCGATCAGCTTTGTCAAACTCTCAGATTTCACTTTTCTTACCAGTCTGCAGTTTCAAGACAGGCTAAGTGAATTAATTGGCCATTTTACTGCGACAGCAAAACATCTATGTGTTCAAAAAGTATCTAACACTATACACAACACCCCCCCATTAATCTCTGTTCAACATATTCTCTGGAAAACACTCCCCCCCCAACAAAGATGGCTTTCATTTCATATGCTGGAAATGCATGATGGAAAATCTTAGGAACGAATAAAGTAGCTGTTAATTACCTCCTTGGTAGTTAAAAGCCTGACTTGGGAGTTGATGTCTGGCTGCCGGAGCTGAGGGTGCAGGTGAACCGGGATCATGGGGTAGGCAGATGATAGGGAAGGCTTCCACTGTGTTCTGTAAGCTTTCCCATAAGACAGAGAATGCAACTGTTTGCAAGCCCGATGCAAATAAGCCAAGTTCTCCAGTGTCAGCATCATCCTCCAGTTCATTTTTTCTCTGCAAATAAAGAAAAAAAGTCGTGTTGAACCACCTTTTGATGCGTGGACAAAGTTTAGATGCAAAGGTGGGCATGGGAGCTATACTCTGAAGTGATATATTAAAACAAGTAAGTTCACTAGATGCAAAGGTGGGCATGGGAGCTATACCCTTTACCTTATAGAAGAGGAAAATTTGGTAGATCCTATGTCAGGGGTGAACATCTCAAAATTTCCGATACTGGGTTACTATTACAAAGCAATATTATCCTTTAGAAGAAGAAGAGAAGAGATTGGATTTATCCCCCGCCCTTCACTTGGAGTCTCAGAGCGGCTTACAAACTCCTTTCCCTTCCCCTCCCCACAACAGACACCCTGTGCAAGTGGAGGAGTGGGGAATCAAACCCGGTTCTCCCAGATTAGAGTCCGCACACTTAACCACTACATCAAACTGGCTCTTTGTTCCCATTCATCCTAATATAATAGCAGAATTGCCATATCCAGCTTCAAATAATCTGTACTGTACGGTTATAATGAAAAGGAGAAGCAAAACCTAAGGAACATTATCTCTTTTAAATGCAACTCAAACTCTGACAGTGACCTTCTCAGGGTCTGACCCTGGCAACCCTAAATTATTAACAACACAATGTTAATTATTATGCTTATGTACTACATTCACAGTACCTGGCCACAGTGACCCATGCAATGGACACTTCCAGGTTAGATTACTGTAACTTGCTTTACAGGGGCTTATCCTTGAATCTGATCCGGAAACTCCAAATGATGCAAAATGCAGGCATGCATTCAGCTGGTGCTTCACCAGTTACACTGGCTACCAGTTGAGTACCGGATCTGTGGTTGTTGTTTTTTTTAAACATAATTTTTTTAATTTTTCATCACTTAGTTCAAATACAAAAAACTTAAAAATAAAGTTTCAAAACTAACAAATCTATACAACCAAAATGGAGCTACATCTTGTGCACTCATAAAAAATACATCGTTTATGAAATGCATATAACTCACAAAGATCAACAACTTCAATAAAATACATATTGTAAATATCTATCTGGCAGCTTATATAGTATAGTGGGATCATTGGTTACATATTCAAAGTAAGAAAACCATCTCTCCAGAAACTTGTTTGACAAAGAGGGAGAATAAGCCGCTGTCAGTTGTGTTGCTATTTTGTCTGCTGCAGCTAAATCCCAGCATTTCAAAACCCACTGTTTTAAAGAAGGAACTTTAACTTGGTTCAAATTTTGGGCAATCAAAGATTTTGCTGCTGATAGCAAAATAGTAGTCAACTCTTTTTTTTTCTTTAGTCAAAGATATATCTGGCCAGAAGTTTAAAAGGATTGCGCTTCAGGCGTGAAAGAAAAATCTTGGCCAATTATTTTTGAGATTTCTGCTACAACAACTGTCCAAAATTGGTTCACATGTGGACACCTCCACCAACAGTGCAGAAATGATCCTTTTACACCACAGCCCTTCCAACATATCGGGGTCGATTTAAACTTGCAGTGAAATAGTCAGTTAGGTGTCAAATACCAACGTGAGTATATCTTAAAAGATTGCATCTTTATCAGCATATTGTAGGTAGTCAAGTGATATGAATTCCAAATTTTTGTCCATATTTTATCATCAAATGGACAATTAAGATCTTTTCCCCAGGCTAGTTGCGAAGAAGATTTTTTTGTGACCAAATCTTGTCATTAAGTATTTTATATATAATAGTATATGGTATATTTGGTATTAAAGCTAGATCTTATCAAGAGTTTCTCAAAATGATTTAAGGATCGAGACAGGTCAGAAGATTTAACTATTTCTGAATACATATGTTTCATTTGTTGATACTGTAACCAATTTATTTTAGCATGTTTATTCTGCAATTGGTGTATAGTTGCTAGGTTTCCTTTCACCGAAATGTCACTTAATCTAAAAAGATTTTTTGCTCTTAGATTGGCATAATCTGTCTGTACTCTACCAGGAAGAAACCAATGCTGGCCCAAAAACGCTGCAATAGGGGAAACTCCTGGGGTAAATATATGCCTATGTTTCTCCCAGATTCTCAATGTGTGACTCAAAAACCTGTTAGAATATTTTAATTTAGCTCTATCTTTAGGAGCATTCCAAATGGTTTCATGTATGTTATCAGGAAGCAATAAATTACTTTCTATTTGTGACCAGGTTTTTTCACATTGATGGTCAGCAAAATAAACCTTAGCTTTAAGTTGGGCCGCCTCATAGTATTTTAGTATTTAACTATTTAACTAAAGATGGTAAAGATGGTAAGGCCAGACCTCCCTTTGTGGTTGGTTTATTAAGTAAAAGTATCTTTAAACTCGCTTTTTTATTGTTCCAAAGAAATTTTGATAAACTAGTATTCCATTCCTTAAAGTCTTTAACCGGAATCTCAATAGGTAGGTTGTGAAACAAAAAAAAAAGAGAAATTTAGGCATAATCATAGTTTTAAAAAGATCGATTTTTTCGATGAGAGACAGTTGCAGTTTCTGCCATTCTTGAAATGTAGATTTCATCGTCTGTGTCAATGGTTTAAAGTTACACTGGTATAAATTGTCTAAATTTAAAGTTATATTAATACCAAGGTGTCTCCACTGTGTAGAAACCTGTTTAAAAGGATAGTGTTTAGCCAAGCCCACTAAATCCTGATTAGTTAACCATATGGGAAATAGTTCAGATTTAGAATAGTTTATAGAAAAGCCTGATATAAGCCCAAAATTGTTAATTTGTTGAATCAAGGGTTTCAATGAGAATAAAGGGTCCTGTATATAAAAAATAGCATCATCAGCAAAGAGACAGACTCATCTTACATAAATAAGAATGAATAGTTATGCCTTTAACTAAAGGATCAAGTACTGGATCTGTTTTAAGGTGATGGTATTAACCTATAAAGCGCTGAGTGGCCTGGGACCAACATATCTAAGGGACTGTCTCTCCCCATATACCCTGTGGAGCACTCCGCTGATTCACATCTACTGGTTATCCCTGGCCCAAAGGACGTTTGTTTAGCCTCAACCAGAACAGGGCCTTCTCTGTCCTGGCCCCCACCTGGTGGAACATGCTCCTGCTTGAGACCAGGGCCTTACTACAGTTCTGGAGGGCCTGTAAAACGGAGCTGTTCCACCAGGCCTTTGGTTGAGGCAATGGATATCTAATTATGGCCTCCCTGCAGAAAGCCACCCTACTACATCTGCCCATGTGGAGTGTCAGTATTATTAGTTTGTGGCAACTCCTGCTTACTACCTATCCAGCTGTTAGGGCTATCATGTAAATATATGTCACCATCTTCTTAATTTTAATTGCTCTTAACATTTATTGTAATAACTGGTTTTAATATTTATAACTTTGATGTTGCCTACCCTAAGCCCACTTGCAGGAAGGGTGAGATATAAATTTAACAAACAAATAAAAATACAGCCCTTCTCCTCCACCCCTTTGGTGAAAATTCTGATTCAGGCTCTGGTCCTCTTTGACCAGGACTACATGCAACCTCCTCTTTTCTGACCTTCCATTAATGCATGCCAACCCTCTCCTTCTATCAAAATCATTCACCTCTTCCATTATTCCACATGACCACCCCCTCATATCCCTACATTGGCTTCCCCCATATCTCTCTGGGATCTTAAGCAGATACCTCCCTGCCTTCGCTCCTCCAGCTTCACCATTCGCAGCAGTCTGAAGATCTCCTTCTCTTTCAAACAACTCTGTTCCTTTGCCCTTGCTGTTCCTTATCACCTGGAACAAGCTCCCAGAACAACACCTCTCTCACTTCCTTCAAGAGAGCCAGTTTGGTGTAGTGGTTAAGTGTGCGGACTCTAATCTGGGAGAACTGGGTTTGATTCCCCACTCCTCCGCTTGCACCTGGCTGGATGACCTTGGGCAAGCCGTAGTTCCGATAAGAGCTGTTCTTGAAAAAGAGCAGTTTCTGTCAGAGCTCTCTCAGCCCCACCTACCTCACAGGGTGTCTGTTGTGGGGAGGGGAAGGGGAAGGAGTTTATAAGCTGCTCTGAGACACCTTTGGGTAGTGAAGGGCGGGGTATAAATCCAATCTCTTCTTCTTCAACTTGCTCCTCAACACTCACTTTTTCTGTAACTTCCTTCAACTTGCTCCTCAACACCCACTTTTTCTGTAACACCTTTAGCATATCTGGAGTTGTCAACCTCCAGGTACAGCCCAGAGATCTCCTGGAATTACAACTGAATTTCAGACTGCAGAGATGAGTTCCCCGGGGGGGGGGGGGAAGGGCTAGGGGGGGAATGGCTGTTTTGGAGTGTGGACTCTATGGCATTATGCCCACTGAGGTCCCCCTCCAACCCCACTCTCCCCAGGCTCTACCCCCACACCTTCAGGAATTTCCCAAACCAGAGCTGGCAACCCTAGTATTATCTTAGTCCCCTTCCTCTACAGATACTAGCCCGTTCGCGGGGAAGGTGGGGTAACAATGCAAATAAATAATGTGCTAATGGAATGAAGACACATCCCTTCCTGCTTATTCATCACTTCCACCGGCCTCCCCTCCTTCTGTAGTCTATTTCATATTTTATTGTAAATCCCTCCAGGCAGGGATCCGGCTTCTTACCTTACGTTTAAAGTACCATATAAACAAACAACGGAAGCACAGAAAGTAGAGATAGATGAAACTTTCATTTCAGTGATTTGAGATCCAGTCCAGCAGTAAAAATGTTACCATCTTATTAATTTACAAATTGCTAACCTTTAATAGTATTCTAAAACCTGCTGTGTAAGCAGGGTCACCTCAGCCTGCCTGATTGTTAAGGACAGCTGGCTGGATAGGCTGCTGGGGATATTATTAATAGCAGAATATATTTTAAAGAATTGTTCTATCTTCTATCTACCTATCATCTATCTATCTTACTTAGGGTGCTATATTACTATGCCTGACATCAATCAGTATCACAGATTAGGAAGAGGGACCTAAGGCTCCGAAGGAGTTCGTCTGTTAAATTTATGATAAAGGCTCGGTTTGAACCGGGAGCGCTCTGATTCAAAGCTCCAACACGACACCGGTCCTGGGAAGCCCCATGTTCAAATCCCGTCCCCATCCCCCGGCCACATGAGACGACTATGTGACCTCGAGCACTAGCTCATCACACCTAATCTATTTACCTAACATGATTGTTGTCAGAGGGTGAAAGGAGATCGTCCTTCGTCCAACTACGCCGCCACCCTTTACCCAACACCCCCCACACATAATGCATAAATATGTTATTACAGAGGCGACGGAGGGAGGTAGCTACTACCATGTGTAGCCACAGGAAAACGCACGGATGTGGACTTAGCGGTGTCACCTTCTCTTGCCTTTTTGTTGTTTTGCCACCGCCGGACCACGGAGAGGCGCGCGCTCGTCTCCTATCAAGTCCCTCACTCTTTGAAAGCCTTCCTTTAAGCGCAAATACGCCTGCGCGCTCGCTCCCATCCCCTGGAGATCCAACGGCCGTGGCTTGAGCGAAGTCGTCTCTCTTCACGCCTCGTTTCCGGGTTCCTTTCGCTATCTTCTCCTGAACGGGAATCTTTTCAGGGAGAAGGCAGAAATCCCTGCGCGGTCACTAAAAACAAAGAAAGAAAAAAAACCCGGAAGATTCTCGTTTACTTTCCCGCATTCAGTCCCAAAGAGCATGGCCAGTGGATCTTGGATAACAGCTCCTGAAGCTCTGTGCCCTTTTCTTGCCCTCACTTCGTACGCCGGAAGAACTAGGGGCCCTAGTTAAAAGGACCGGGTAAAAGGGCAGAGCTAACGCGATCTCGTCACTGATCTCGGAAGTTAAACAGGGTCGCACCGGAACAAAGTTTGATTCCAGTGGCACCTTTAAGAGACCGACAGACTTTTATTCAAGGTATAAGCTTTCGTGTGCAAGCACACTTCTTCAGGTATTTGGAAGGACAACCGTCAGGGAATAATACCAGGGTTGTAACTCAGGAGGCAGACAATGGCAAACCACGTCTGTTCACCTCTTGCCTCGAAAACCCCACCAGGTCGCCATAATTCAGCTGCGACTTGATGGCCAAAAAGGAAAGAGGGGTCAAGAAAGGACTCGTGAAAAGCCCCTGCTCAGGTAGACAGACAGCTGTTCCGTATTGCATCAGATTTCCTGGCCTTTTATATGGACTAAAGAGTAGCATACAAAAGAAAGCCATGCAGAGTATTCTATTAGAATGAAAAAGTCGTGTTTTTTTAAAAATTGTGAAAAATATGTGATACTGAGAGAGATAAATCAGGAACCCAGTGAGTCTTAAAGACTAACATGATTTTTTTTTTTAGCATAAGGTTCTGTGAGTCAGAGCTTCTGTATTAAGAATGGAGCATAGCTGGTGAGCAATCCTAAACAGCTCTACTCAGAAGTAGGTATCATTTTATTTAGTGGGGCTTACTCCCAAGAAAGTGTTTTTAGTACTGCATCTGTAGTCCCCTGCTATGTATCTCTGTGTTAAGTGCCATCAAGTCATTTCCAACTTATGGCGTCCCCATGTTCATGAAACAAACATCGTTGTGAATCCACATTCTACATATGTGTTGATGGGAACTTATTTCCCAAAACAGCTTTCTCAGAAATAAGTTTCACAGTGTTTAAAGGGCTTTTACTTCCAGATGTGCATAAGAACATGAGAACATAAGAGAAGCCAAATGTTGGATCTGGCCAGTGGCCCATCTAGTCCAACACTCTGTAACACAGTGACCAAAAATACCAGGTGCCATCAGAAGGTCCAGCAGTGGGGCCAGGACTCTAGAAGCCCTCCCACTGTTGCCCCCTCCCAAGCACCAAGAATACAGAGCATTACTTGCCCCAGCCTGAGAGGTCCTATTTATACCTTGTGGCTAATGGCCACTGATGGACTTCTGCTCCATATGCTTATCTAATTCCCTCTTGAAGCTGTCAATGCTTGTAGCCGCCACCACCTCCTGTGGCTGTTAATTCCATGTGTTAATCACTCTTTGGGTGAAGAAGTACTTCCTTTTATCTGTTCTAACCCAACTGCTCATCAATTTCATTGAGTGCCCGCGAGTTCTTGTATTATGAGAAAGGGAGAAAAGTACTTCTTTCTCAACCTGCTCTATCCCATGCATAATCTTATAAACCTCGATCATGTCACCCCTCAGCCATCGTTTCTCCAAGATAAAGAGCCCCAAGCACTTTAACCTTTCTTCATAGGGAAAGTGTTCCAACCCTTTTATCATTCTAGTTGCCCTTTTCTGCATTTTCCAGTGCTGTAATATCCTTTTTGAGGTGTGGTGACCAAAACTGTACACAGTACTCCAAATGAGGTTGCACCATCGATTAATACAGGGGCATTATGATACTGGCTGATTTGTTTTCAGTTCCCTCCCTAATAATCCCCAGCATAGGATTGGCCTTTTTTATTGCAGTTGCACACTGTCTAGACATTTTCATTGAGTTATCTACTACGACTCTAGGATTTTTGGCTCCAGTGTGCATCACTTTGTACTTGGCCACATTGAACTCCATTTGCCATGTTGGGGATGGGCCTCACAATCCTCCCTGGTTCTCACCACCCTGAACAACTTTAGCCACTTCACTGCTTACTCCCCACTCCAAATCATTAATAAACAAGTTAAAAAGCATTGGACCAAGTACTGATCCCTGTGGTACCCCACTGCTTACCACCCTCCACTGAGAAAATTTCCCATTTATACTCACTCTCTGTTTCCTATTAATTAGCCAGTTTTTGATCCACAAGAGGACTTGTCCTTTTATCCCGTGACTACTGAGCTTACTTAGGAGCCTTTGAAGAGGAACTTTATCAAAAGCTTTCTAGAAGTCAAGGTAAACAACATTTACCCCATTTATTGGGTTCCCCTTGTCCACATGTTTGTTCACTCCCTCAAAAAACACTAACAGATGAGTGAGACGAGATCTTCCCTTACAAGAAGCCATGCTGAGTCTGCCTCAATAGTTTTTGTTCATCAATATGCCTACTAACTCTTTCCTTAATAACAGTTTCCACCAACTTACCTGGTATTGATGCCAGACTGACTGGCCTGTAATTTCCTGGATCTCCTCTGGAACGCTTTTTAAAGATGGGAGTGACATTAGCTACCTTCCAGTCCTCAGGAATGGAGGCAGATTTTAATGAAAGATTACATATTTTTGTCAGATCACAAGTTCACATTTGAGTTCTTTCAGAACTCTCAGATGTATGCCATGTCCCCTCATATCAGAGAAGTTACCCCTTTTAAATAGATTTGCAACCTTGTACCACTGCCTTGTAACTTTAACTTGCCCAAGCCTTTGTACCTGAAAGGGACTGCAAGGTGGGTGTTAATAAGAAATCACAGGTATATATTTGCTGGTATAAAGGTCTTGAAATGACACCATATGCTGAGGAAGATGCATACATGCACAAAGCTCCAGCAGGCTATTGGCTAATCCCATGTTTCCAGCACGGTGTGTGCGGAGATACTAAATTGCTGCCAGGTTCCTATTGGAGCAAGGATTGACAGCAAAAGACCAGTCTTTGACAGTAGTGTAACAAGATACAGCTCCCTGTTAGCTCCTCTAATTTGAAAACTTTCCTGTTCCATCTGGAGTGAAAACCTTCAGCATTAAATGGCTGAATTAGAAATTACCATTAGGTTTAATTGCATTAATCAGGGTTTAATCAGATTATACCATTCTTAGTCCCATTACGCACATACATCTTACTGCAGATTTTCAGAGCAGTAAACCATTAATCTTGACTTTGGATTCTGTGCCTTGCCTTATGCACCGTTCTTTTTCCGCCAGTGTATTTATTCTGCAGGTACAATTTTAAAAACTCACTTTTCTAAATCAGGATGGCATGTCATTAGTGACATGTGGGGGATGTTGTCTAAAGTTTTAAAAGAATTGCCCTATCACAGCTGCGCAGTAGCGTCCAGCAAGCACCTTCCATTTAAATCCTCATGGTTCAGGTTTTGTGCATGCATTTTAGCATTAGTTTGTTGAATGAAAAGGAATAGAAAGGAAGGCAGGCAAATGGGGAAAAACTGCTACTGAAACTGACCAGACATTTTCTGAAACAGACAAGCAGCTGCTGAAGCCCCCTTTTCCATATTGCTGCGCACTAGGGGATTCTCTGCTATGTTATCGGCTACTGTGAAAAATGGAAAAGTGACACGATCTCATAATATGGGGGGACCATGTTGAGTGTACAGAATTCATGGTACAATCCACTGACACTGCAAGCCGCAATCCTTAGCAATGTGCGTGTATGTGCACCTCTGCAAAGTTGGCTGCAACTCCACCATGCTTTGCACAGGGCTGCAATTTGTATGGGGGAGGAGTCCTCTGGCAGAAGCTCTGGAGAGCTTTTTTAGTCTTGTGCCACTAAATTGAAAAGGGGGTATTTCCCCTGATGCCCTAGTGTAGTTGCATAGTAATGCTAATTTTCTGCCCTTCCTTTCAAATTTGTGTGGAAGTGAAACAAGGGGGAAATCGGCACAAAAGCACTCTCAGAAAATCTGGGGAAACAGCAACCAGAAAGAAACTGAATGCCAAAGGGAGGAATATCAGTGCAGAACGACAAAGAAAACCTGATGGACATGCACAATGAATGTGAGGGGAAACACCCATGCAATATAGGCCTTAGTTCACCATAGTTGTTAAATTGCTTACCTTAACTGGAAGACTTATTGTTGGTGGTGTGAATGGTCACTGTACGTATTATGTAAAGTTTTGAATTTTGCATAGAAATGTCCTAGATCACACCTCTGGCATTTCATGGCCTTTTAACCATACAATTCACAATGTTCCCTGTGTGTGTCTGTTTGCTGACTTTAATTTCATATATCTTGGGACTTTATTTATTTACTTCATTTATTGCCCACCTTTGTCATAGACACTGAAGGTAGATTACAAAATATAGAAAACAATTCATTCAGAAAGTGTAAGTCATCCAGTAAACCATGCTATAGGATGAGGACCACAGAATTATAGAACAATGCAAACAGAAAAGTGTCTGAGGGAAGACATCCCATAAAACTGTCTATAGTTGATTGCAAGGACAGAAGATGGTACAGAAAAAGTAGAATGATATATACAATAAACATTAGACTACAATTCTGTTTCCTTATATAAAAAAGCTGTTAACATTATACCACAACTCTAATCCCTTTATAAAAATGCTTTCCTGAACATTTCTGTTTTGCACATTCTTTGGAATGGTGTAAATATGGGCACTGTGGCTCAGTAGAAGAACCTTTCCTTTGCATGCAGATGGTCCCAGGTCCAGTCCTTGGCATCTCAGGTTAAAAGGACTGGGTAGGAAGTGACATAAAAGGCCTCCACCTGAGACCCGGGTGAGCTGCTGCCAGTCGGAGTAGACAATACTGACCTTGATGGACTAATGGTCTGATTCCGTATAAGGCAGCTTCAAGTGTGTTCATGTATGCCTTCTGGTCTCGAGCGTCTGTTTCAGAAGGCTTTGCTAAGATGAGCAAACCTGTTGAGGTAGAACATAGCGGGAGAGGTAGTCCTGCTGGTATGTGGGTCCAAGGCCATGGAGGGCTTCGTAGGTAACAACTAATACCTTAAACTGAACCCAGTAACTGATTGGTAACCAATGGAGTGACTGCAGAATGGGTGTAATGGGCATATTTATGGATAATAACCGAGCATTCTGTGCCAACTGGAGTTTCTGAGGTGAAGAGGGCTATAGCCCAGTGAAAGGTTATGCTACAGTAGATGTTAGCCTTTAAGGTGCCACAAGGAGAGCCAGTTTGGTGTAGTGTTTAGGAGCGCGGACTCTAATCTGGGAGAACCGGATTTGATTCCCCACTCCTCCACTTGAACCTGCTGGATGACCTTGGGCAAGCCTTAGTTCTGGCACAGCTGTTCTT